ACGCACTGTTAATAATCCCATTTCGCCCATTATACGCGCTGATTGGTTGCGTGAACAGTGCGTAATTCCCCCTCCCACTTCCCGATGTATATATATATATATATATATATATATATATATATATATATATATATATATATATATATATATATATATATATATATATATATTAGTTTAGTTTTAATCTTCTCCTGAAGATGCCAAAAGGGCAAAAACCGTCAAGATGCAACTGTTAATTTTTCATTTGTGTTTTCAATTATAAATGAAAATCAAACTTACCTTTCCATAAAAAAATTGTTCGTTAAAAATTATTCACTTATTTATTGAACGTAATTAAAAGTTGGAGTTTATCTGGAAGCGGCCGTCAATCCGCACCAAGTCAAACGGAACTTTGCTGTCGCTTTAATTATTAACTTCTCCTTAAGCGCACCGATTTCCCTTACCCTCGCCCAATATCGATTGAATAAACAAAATTAACGAAACATTTTGCGTTAATTGATTACCTGTCTGACGCGTTTCAAATATTTTAATCAAAAGTAAACTACCCGACAATAAAGAAAAATTTAATTTTCGCAAATTGAAATTGAACTGAAGTGGCTTTTACTTAATGAAAATCCATTTAACAAAATAAGAACTAAAAGTTCAGATTTTAAAGAAATTATTTTTATTTTCACATGGCAATTGTTTCGACAACACCGTATCTTTATCAAATGTAATATTTACAAACTCCCTGCTACTATATATGCCAAAAAATGACAAAACCTCAATTAATGTTGTGAGAATTTAAGTTCAATAAATCTAATTGATCGTCTCATTTTGTTAATCTCTATGGCTACCAATAAATTTAATTTTCTACTTTTTGTGGCTGTATGTAAAATATCAAAATTGTCGTCAAAAATGTGTATTTCCGTGTTTAAGTGTGAAGACTATTGTTTTTAAATGCTCTTTTATGTTCGTTAATGCGTTTCTTGAAGGATCTACCTGTTTGTCCAATATAAATTTCAGGACAAAATCCACATTTTAACCTGTAGACACCTGATTTTTGGGATTTTGGACGTTTCGTTTTATTGTTTTTTAAAAATTTTCCTATTGTGTTATTAGTTCTGAAAGCCATTTTTAAACCACATTTTGACAAATGTTTTGAAACTTTTTCACTGGGTTCTCCTATGTATGTAATTGTTTTTAATTGTTCGTGTTCTGTATTAGGTTTCGGATAAATAGAGTTTACTGTTATCTGGATTTGTTTTTTATTTATAATATTATCTATAATGGCCTTTGTTCAGTGCCATTTTTTTAATTATTCTTTATAATGATTGTTCTTTGTTGTAATTTTCTGTTGAGAGTGGCATATTAAGAAGTCTGTGTATAAAAGAGTGAAATGCAGCCATTTTATGTGTATAAGGGTGATTTGAGCTGTTACGTATGACTGTGTCCGTGTGTGAAGGTTTATGATAAATGGAAAAATCTAATTTGTTTTGCGTTTTCGTAATAGTTAAGTCTAAAAAATTAATAGTTATCCTGTTCAATCTCGATAGTGAATTTTATACGATTATGTAGAAAATAGTAGTAGAAAATTAACTTTATTGGAAGTCATGGAGATTAACACAATGAGACATTCAAATCAAACTTAACGATCAGTTAGATTTAAATACCTCTCCTTCATCGAACTTAAATTCTCACAACATTAATTAACGATTTATTGTCATTTTTCGGCATATATTGTAGCAGGTAGTTTGTACATATTACATTTGTTAAATACACGGTGTTGTCGAAACAATTGTATGTGAAAATATATAATTTGGTGAAAATCTGAACTTTTAGTTCTTATTTCTTTTGTTTAATTAATTTTCTACCATTCACAGTGAAAGACTTCCAGTTTTGCTCATTCTGTCTCTATACCAAACCAACGAAGTCTCACTGTAATCTCGAATGAAAAAAGGCCTAAAAGAAAATTGTTTTCGCCAATAAAATGAAATTTTCGATTTTCCGTTCATTTGAAAATTGAGGATTAATCTATTATTATCATTATCATTTATTAATTTTGAATTTGAATTTCGTAAAGAAATAAAAGTGTTTAAAATAATACCTATGTTATATACAGGAAAATGTTGCTCCTACTTTAAATCCCAGTATAAAAGCAAAGGAAAATGTTTTTACAATTGACTATACATTGAAAAGTCTGAGAAATACAGTCCAATTACTCTTCGTTTGGTTCTAGCCCTTAAAAACTGTGAAATCTACTATAATCCACAGTGCATCAAATAAATCAGAAATTGTAGCGTTTCATCAAAGAGTATAACACAGAGGGGAAGGTCGGGTATACTGTTACGAATGCCATCTAGTATTTGTGTCCAAGTACTAAAGTACTGTCCTGTGTGGCGTCACACTGAAAAAACTACAGTAGCTTGTAACAGATAACAGCATTTTATTTATATTTTGATAAAAAAAAAATTTTAACTATAAATTTTTTTTTTCATATTTTACCTTTCAAACTTTAAGTTGAATTGAATCGTACGTTCCACGCGTTTATCGTTTTCGCGACTGGACACTATCACTAGAGGCATTGAAACTCGTGTGCGCTTACTAACATTGCCACTAATGAGAGCCTTCCCCTCTATCTTCTACTCTTTGGTTTTCACTTTAAAGGTTAACGATCCTTTTCATTTATTTTTGGTGCCGCTACTACGGCAATTGCTAGCACGATACTTAAAAATTTGAAAAGTGTCGGACAAACACATTCGCTTCAGGTTCCTGTTAAGTACAGTTAGAAGCAAAATCCTGCACTAGTGATGTTAACTCAATATGTGTTTAATTATTTGATACGCTTCCAGAATTTTACAATAACAGGAAGGAAATATTGAAGACAAGACTTGTTAACATGCCAAAAGTGTATTTAGAACGTTCTGAGCCAGATAGAACTAGCAGTTTGCAAAAAAGCAAACGTGGGAATCCGGTTCTATTTAACTCCATTAAACCAATGATGTATAGATTTGGTACCCAATAATGGACCAATCCATTGTTGTGGAATTTGAAATTGATGAATCGGACTTCTTAAAATAACGTCGAAAAACCCAGTCGGATCACTGTCATTCTATTCCATATCTTGATTGCTGCTTTTTTGAAAGTTAAGCTGGACGCGTTATAAAAACAATTTTTGTCATGTGCTCCTTCAACCCGATGTCAAATTAACGCACACACTTAAGACTCTCTGAATGGCGCCTATTATGTACTCTTTCATGGTCCTTAACATCTGAAGTTAGTCGTAAGACGGGTTAAGGTATGTGCCATGTTCACTTTTATAAAACATTCGCAACATCCTGCTCAATCGGAAGTTCCTGCCAATTTGTATATTATTACATTTTGAGATTTTCAACTAACTTTTATATGGGGTGTCAGATATGTGCCAAAATTTTTTTCCATAACCGAATGCAATAATTGTGTTTCGATAGCTAAGTATAAAAAAAACCTAAGGCAGTTTGATTGGGAAATAAATCTTTATAGAATTTTAAGTGACACTTGTTACATTTTAAGAAAACTAGTGTTGCAACTTTGAAAATGTGAATGTTTACTGCCTAATTTTAGACACCCTGTACAAAAGCAGATATCAGAAATGAGAATGTCAACTTAGAGTCTTTTTCAAAAACTACAAAAATATTAATTTTCAAAATTGGTTAGGCTGGAGGCACACACTTTTTTCAAAGTCAAAAATTATTTCAATGACGATTGGATATAGGCATACAACGTTACACGCAAAATATGTTTAGATTTTCACACAAAATCTTAAGATATCTTAAGATATCATTTTATAAAAGAAGTACACTTATCACTTACCTTGACCCCAAAAATTGAAAGGCGTTTCTAAATTACTTGTCATTAAACTTTTAATGGACAGATTGTTCAAAATACCCTCCATTTTCCAAAAGCTTACAAAAATCCTAATAAATGTATTAAAAGACAAAAAAAATACACTGGCACTGGGGTCTCCGTAAAAAACCCTATCGAGATCAGTTTTCAAATACAAGTTTTCCAAATTCATCTTATATCTAAAAATCTCTGGCTCGTGATAGCCGCAAGACACCAACTTTATTAATAAGAGATATACGCCGTAAAACATCAAAAATGTGGCGCTGTACTTTCTCGCCCTACTGCCTCACACTTAAGCTTATGTTATGCTATGTTATGTTATTACTTTTTTTGTTAAACCGAAGTGTTAGACGTGTTTGGTGTGTATTCGGCGATTTTCTGCTCTGAAAAAAATGCAACAAAGAATTTGCATAAATTATTGTGTAAAACATGGAATACAATCCTACAAAACACTTGAAACGCTGACAACGGCATATGGTGAATCTACTTTGAGCAAGAAAAATGTTTATAGGTGGTACAAGCTGTTATAAGATGTCCGAAAAGATGCCGATGACGAACCTCGCTTTGGAAATGGAAGCGTTGAAGAGGTGAAACAAATGATGTTGAAAAATCGTCGAATCACTATTAGAGAAGTGACTGAAGACGTCAGCGAATTTGTTCAAGCAATTTTGAACGAAGAAGCATCGCTCAAGAGCTGTTAAACGACGTCAATGATAATATTGATTTGTTCAAAAAGATTATAACTGGTGACGAATTATGGGTATATGGTTACGACGTCGAAACCATAGCAAAGCCGCCCCAACATAATAACCCAGAATCGCCAAGACCAAAAAAAGCACGTCAAGATCGATCAAATGTCAAGGTTTTGCTTATTGTTTTCTTTGATTATCGTGGTGTAAATCAAGATATCTTATCACAAGGTGTAGGGTCAATAAACCTTGAAGCATGAACGGCATAATGGGGCGGCCAAAAAGTCGACTTCTTCCGCTTATCCCCTACTCAGTAAGAGCCCCTTAACAAACTCGTAAAACTCTCCAAACCGGGTTACGCGAGACCAAACGACATTTGAAAGTTTCCGCGCCGTCTTTCCGACTCGATTTACTTAAACGTAGTTTATAGAGATGCTTCCAATTCAGGTCTGAATCGACGACGGACGGTTTCGGGACGGTCCCGAGACGATGGATGGGTCTCTCGAAAGCGAACCAGCATCGAAACTTTCCGAAACTCACCAGGGAGGCGAGCACCAGCATGGAGGATCTCGATATCCCCCCTAATTTCCCCAACATGCCCGGCAGCGTGATCCGACCTAAGAGCATGTGCGTTCCGAACGCGACGTTCTACCACAAAGAAGACAATAATTTTTACTCTGACGTCGACTATGACGACGTGGTCCGATTTGGTCATCAAAGAGACGCGGTGGCGCGGCCTGAAGAAGCTAAACCCTCGCAGGTAGTGTGGATGAATATTTGATCACCTCGTCAAAGCTTCTTGGTCATTATTTTGAGATTTTATTAGGAGAAAGAATCCATATTTTCCTAGTAAGGTAAATTGTTTTTTAGTTTCTCTTGTACACTTGTCCTAATAGCCAGGGTGCTGCATTCTTAGCTTCTTAGTTTTTAGTTTATACATTTGAGAGAAGGAAACCATATTCTCCGGGTAGGATGGTTTTTAAGAGAGGAATGTATTTTTATCTAGTTTCTGTCTAGACTTGTCTTCACACCTTCCGCTCCATTATGCCTGAACATCTTCACTCGTTCCCCTAGAAGTGCCCGAGAAAGTAAAGTACTTCCTTCATAAGCAACTTGGATAGTCCTTCCAGCCCAATAAGTTGAGCTCTATTACTCTGGCGGCTACTGCCTAATGGTGAAGCTTCCTTCTCTTCTAATCACAGCCTACATGTGCTGCCATCTCCTTCCCATCAAAGAGATGCGATCGCGCAACCTGACGAAGCTACACCTTTACAGATAGTCTAGAATATCGGGTGTGCATGAATATTTGACCACCTCGTCAAAGTTTCTTAGTATTAAGTTTAGACCATTAGGAAAACTAATCCCTTAAGTCAATTCTGTTTCAAGCATTATCATTCTCATTGCTGCTGGGAAAACTTTGAATTTAGTGCAGTGTAACCTCTTTAACTCAGATTCAGATTCCAGATTGTGAGAGTCAGCAATCGACTTGTCCGTCACTGCGATCCAAAGAATCTATAGCTAAGGAACATTATCCAGCTTCCGTTATCCGTTATCTGACTATACACCATAACTTGTGTGTAGCTCATTGCTTCTGGTTTGGTTACTCCCGGCAGATGGAAATGCAATCTCGATAGGTCTTCACACTGACATAATATGTGTATGGCTGTTTCCTCCTCTTCTTGGCAGAATCTGCATTCTGTGTGTTCGCCCACTCTCATTAGGGTTAGATGTCCCTTAAGCCGGCAATGGCCAGTCAATAGACCTACCATTGTTCTTACGACCTTTCTTTTGTTACTTAGCAGGTCATGGGTCTTTGAGGAATTCCTTGGCCTGTTTTTTGCCTGACTTGTCTCTCCTCCATTTTGAGATGGCTGATCGTACACCTTGACGAATCTTCACGGTCTACTTCGTCGGCGCTTTCGTTATCTTTGTGGCCTTCGTGCACTATGCTATCTATTGCTATCTGGTTTAATGCCTTACGAAAATCCAGAACTAACTTTCATGTTATTTTGCTGGATTGCATAGCTTTGCCTAATTACGAATCTCTCTCATTTCTGTTTCCCTTGCTCAATGTTGTCTAAATCATATCCACATGATGAATATACTTAAGAAATATTATGATTTACTTTTTTAACTCACTAAATTAGTTCTAAGACCTAATCTTTCCACTACCAATGGTTTTTCAGGCCGGATGTAGAAGACTACGAGTGAGGAGGAACCCAGTTCAGCGTTCCGCCTCTAGACTCTATAGGGCGGCCATAGACGCGCCCTTAGACGCGGCCGAAGGAATCCGGGATTGCGTGGGTCCCGAGTTCGTGGTCAGGGCTTCGCTGCCCAACAAAAAGTTCGTCATGTCCGATGCGAAGGGGTCGAAAAAAACCGTGACGGTTATCATGCTGGACGGCCAAAAGGTGGACGTGGTCTGCAGTCCCAATTCCACCACGGCCGGTCAGCTCTTCGAGACGATCATTCAAAAGGAGCACATCGAAGAGAACTTCATGCTTGGATTATCCGCGCTGATCGCCGGAGATTTCGTCTTTCTGCCATCAGATACACGTATCTGCAAGGTGATCCAACCCGGTAGTAACCCGGAGGTAAACCTGACGCTGTTCCTGAGGGTGCGGTTCTTCTTGCCTAGCCTGAGAGGGATCAGGGGGAGCCAAGCTCGGCACCTGCTCTACCTCCAGCTGAGGAGGTCTATATTGGAGCACCAGCTCCCGTGTTCGTTTTCCCAGATCATAGAGCTGAACGGGTTGGCCCTGCAGGCGGAATTCGGAAATTATACGGAAAAGGTAACCTACGGTGTCGGGATGGGTTGGGCTAAGGTTACGAGTGCGTTGGTTTTCAGGAACACGGGACCAGGGACTATTTTTTGCTAGACCATTACGTGCCGGAAACCATGGCCTGCGTGATAGACGACCAGAAACGTTTGAGGCAGGAATTGATAAAGGCGCACGTCTCGAAAAAAGGTTTGGAACGGGAAAAAGCAGAGCAGGATTTCATCGCGTTCACGCAGACGTTACCGCATTACGGGGGCCATTTTTATACGGCCACTTGGGTAAGTGAAATGGCCGGAGCGTTCCGGAATAAATGACCGGACGGCGGTTTAATGTTTATGTTGGGATTTGCCGGCCCGTAAAAATCGGAAAATTAGAAAAAAAAACAATTTGAAAGCGGAAATCGGAGAACATCTTTTCTGCTTGGTACGGTTCCTTAATAAAACGCATTTTGAAATGGTTTTAAAAATGGCCATGTTATTTTTTATGCCTTAAACTCAAAAATATGGAGTTTTAAATTTGAATTACTTTTTAATAATACCCACTGAATGTCAAATATTGTGCTTGTGGTTGTGCTTTGTTTCGCAATTTAAATTTGCAATAGCTTAGAACGGAGCCAGATCCACCTTCTGCTCAGATCAAGGGTCATGTTATGAAAATGTTAAGTTTACAGTTTTAAATTTAGCTATTTCCGCAGTAACTGAACACAAAAAGGTAGTTCAAAGGGAATCATTTCTCTAAGAACCCTATATAAGAGTGAACATTTTTAAACATTTAAAGCGTCTGTCATTACCTCACACTTGAATTATGTAGACGTCGTTTATGGTTCTTTAGTTCAAAAATAGATTACAAAGAATTCAAAATTAGTGCATTTGCTTTTACTTTTCATCTGAAACTGAAGGACAATGTTTAAAAAAACTCAATGTTGAAGAATGTTGAAGAAATATCCAAGCAATTCAATCAAATTTTAAAAAAAAATTAAAGTGTTGATGAATTTTTAATGTCTGTTTTTGCCTGCAAGCGCCTTAGGTGCAGTACTTCTAGCAGACACCTTTAGAGGCTATTACAGAATTTTAATACAACAGCAAAACAATACGTAACTGTAGAAACTGAAGGAACAAAATGTATGGTTCTTTCTAAGTAACCGGTCAGACGCCAATTTGAAATTGAAGGAGAAAATAATACAAGTAATGAAGTTGATAGTAGATAAATCCAGAGACCATAATAGATTATATAATGAGGAACATGGTCAAGCTGTCAAAGGAGGAAAAGTTTCAAGATTTCTACGAAACATGATGCGGAGAAATAAATATGATCTAGAGAGTAAATTAACAAAATATAAGACAATATCAATAATGACATGTGGGCCAGAAACTCGAGCTTATACGACTGTCACGTGTCACAGCTATAATAGGAAGAAATAAATTAGACAGGGGGAGAAATTCAGTAATGTGACAGCAACGTGACATCCCGAAAATGGAGAATGGATTGGAATGACTACGTAAAATATTATTGTAAATTATAATGTTGAGGTAATATGAGGTAATATTGTAAACCTCCAGTGAAAAAAAAGCGCAAGAAGGTCACAAAAAAGATGGGCACACTTTATTGTTATGAAACTGTATGTGAACAGTAAAATTTCTATCTATCTACAACAGTGGTACTAGAATGATTTTTTTCGTATGCGACTCCCAAACTCTACGTTTTTTTGAACTTTACTTGTGGAATCTTCAAAAAAGATTTAAAGTTTATCTGATGGATAATACTTGAGATTTGCGGTTTCTCGATTATTAGTTCATTAATTCCCTATAAATTGTTTAAATACTGTTACTAGATTATAGCTAATAGAATATTATTCTTAATTAGTTAAATAGTTAAGGTGCCCTTCGCCAAGTTAATTCTAATCTATGCTATTTCATTTAACCGATCGAATGCGTTTTTATTACTCTCTTCTAACCGTGGGGCGACTATACCATAGAATTTGGTAATTGTTCCTACCGTGCTGCCAAAGTGATTGGAGTGCGAATTAAATTTTACTGCCAAAGTGTGAACACTTTAATTATCACAGAAGTAGTTACCCGTTTTATAAAAGCGATAACTTATACATTTTATTAACTTTACGTATTATATTTTTATAAAATAACTATCATTGTAAACAGTTTAAACGTTAAGAAAAAAAAATTGTTTGGATTAATTTATTTAAAATTTGAAAAAATAAAATTTATATAGATTTCTTATGTAAAAGTGTATAATTTGATATTCGCAATTGCTTAAAAATAGGGACAAAATATTTGCAATAACCTTATTAATCCAGAAAAACATTTTGTGTTTAATAAAAATAATAAATTTTGCAAATAAACATACATATTTCCAACACGGTATAATATTACAAAAATATTTAATTACATATTTTAGCTGTTACACCTACAAACTCATTAAAATATTGGGTTGTTCGGAAAGTCATTTCGTTTTTTTTGGGGAACATGAAAGACAGTTTTCGTATAATGAATAAATATTTTATTAAATTATATATTGGCCATTCTGGTCCAACACCTTTTGCCATCTTTCTGGCAGTAACATAATTCCCCTCTCATAAAAGTTTTGGTCCTTGCTGGCAAAAAACTGGTTCAGGTGGTTTTTGACATCTTCATTTGAGGTAAAGGTTTTGCCATCCAAAAAATTTTGCAGGGACCGGAACAAATAGTAGTCGGAAGGCGCCAGATCTGGAAAATATGGTGGATGTTGCAGTACGTCCCATTCAAGCTGTAAAAGTTTTTGGCGAGTGACGAAACTTGTGTGAGGTCTCGCATTATCCTGGTGGAACACTACACCCTTCCTGGTGATTAATTCGGGCCTCTTCTCTTTAATTGAATCATTCAATTTGTCCAGTTGATGACAATAGACTTCTGAATTAATCGTTGTATTGTCCGGCAAAAGCTCAAAAAAAACAATTCCTTTGACATCCCACCAAACGGAGAGCATCACCTTTTTTTGGTGAATGTTGGCTTTTGACACGCTTTGAGCCGGTTCATCTTTTCTGCTCCATGACCTCTTGCGTTTAACATTGTTGTATACAACCCATTTTTCGTCCCCAGTAATAATCCGCTTCAAAAATGGATCATTTTCTTGACGTTTGAGGAGCGAATCACACACGTCAACGCGACGACACAAATTTCCCTCCGTAAGGACATGGGGCACCCACACATCGAGCTTCGAGGTTAAGCCCATGCCTTTCAAATGGCCATAAACAGTCGAATTCGACAAATTTAATCTCTCACCGATCTCTCGTGTGGTTATTCGCCGATTTGCATCAACTAATGCCTTTATCGCATCTTTGTCAGCTTCGACCGGCCTTCCAGACCGTGGTGCATCTTCGACATCAAAATTGCCGGATCGAAATTTTGCAAACCAGTTCTGGCACTGGCGTACTGTTAACACGCCTTCTCCATACACATCCGTCTATTTTTTTCTCGCTTGGACAGCATTTTTACCTTTTCTGAAGTAAAAAAGTAAAATATGACGAAAATGCTGCTTATTGCTCTCCATATTTAAAAGGGCACCAACCAAAAACTACTGCGTAGAATTAATAGAACTTTTTCACACACAAGCCTTGCAATATCAGCTCTCAAGACATATAATGGTTATGCGGCTTAAGTGTGAAGTTGGTTTCGAAAAAACGTAATTAAGTCCTCTGACGGGAAAAAACGAAATGACTTTCCGAACAACCTTATAGTGGATTCTAAACAATTTAACCAACTCTCAGAATACCAAAATATGTTAATAAAGTTTGCAGGATATCAAGTGACACTAACCAGAACTAAAATGGAAAATGAAATTTCTGATTCCGTTGAGACTGTCATTTTGTGACGCTAGCGACCCACAAACCACAATAAATGTGTTTTATGATTTAACATAAACATCTATTTCCGTTCTTTGCCTACGCTTTGCTGCAAGGGTGAATCATCCTTCCACTTTCAGATCCTCAAGGACAATACCGACAAGGAGGTGTGGCTTTACATAAGCGCGCAGGGAGTCAACCTGTACGAACGCGGCAAAAACACTAGCAACTTCGGGCCGCAGCTCTATGAAGCATTCGAGTGGCGCGACATTCAAACTCTTTGCTACAGCAAGCATTACCTCTGCGTTTTGCCGCACAGCGGCGCTCGCCGCGCCGCCAAACTGAAGAAGTACAAACTAAAGATGGACCACAAAAAGTAACCTAATTCGGTTCGGCCCACAGTGCTCCACGGCATAGAGAAAAACGCACAAAAACCTTAGTTTTGCCAGAAATTTAGTTAAGTCAAATATGACTTATGTTTTTTTAAATCTACATAACTGACCTAGTAAATTAAGTTTAAACTCGACCTATTACTTACTCAATTAACACTACACATTTCCACATTATAAAGGAAGGAACCATTCGTTTAGGTTCAAAATGGATTTCGACTGACATGAAATTTTTGCAGGTTTTTAAAAAACAATTTGTATGCGTTTTCACCAAATTATTTAATCCTCTTTCCGTTATACTTAAATATAAAATATGCAGGTGTCAATTGTGTCATTTCTATTACTTCTGGATGGATACAACAAAAATCTCAAATTTGAACAAGTAAAAATTAAGTAATATAAACACAACAAACAAAAGAAAAATTAATAACAACGTATTAAAATAACAAAACCTATCTCTAATTTATGTTGGCTTTTTCTATATTTTTATCTTAATAGTTGTAATTTAGCTGAAATCATCAGAATCTGAAGACTCTAGGATTTTGATGTAAGCACTGTGTTTTTGGTGACTTCCCGCTGGTATTCTATAATAGTATATTATGCAACAAGTGCGGTAAACGGCAAGCGGAGCGCAGCGAAGCGAGTTTTTAATAAACAACTGAACGAACGTGTTGCATACTATACTTCTTCTACGACCGTTAGTTTTTGGGTACATTTTCGCAAAACAACACGAATACATTCACTGACATCGCCGTCAAAATTGACAAACGTCAAAATTCAAAGGGTGGGAAATATCTCCGAAAACATCCGATTGCTGCCAATCCCGGAAATGTCCGAAGTGGCTCGGATTCATGGGAAAGGAAACTGACGTGGTAAAGTGACGCTTCCCGCACGCTAGATCGGTGGGTAATTAGGTATTTTATATACGGGAGTAGAAAAACGATATTTGCGTACTTCTTCCTGGCGAGCTTTAAGCTCTTTTTTCGATCAAAATGTTCTATAATTTCGCACACATGACACTACTTTGCATGAAATGTCAGTATACGAATTGACGTATAGCTCTCGTGGTTCTTTAAGTAAAATTTTAAATGGGCCCTCATGAATTTTAAAACCGCTAGATACCACCGTTAAAATTATATGAAAATTTTCTGCCATAGCAAAAACCGTGTGGTAGCGTTGCCATCATTACTCGATCCAAAAACCTTGTTTTGGCATGTCAAACAAAATGCCCATCTTAGATTTAAATTCTGTCCTTTTGTATTTTTTTTAGTATTTTGGAAAACGGTTTTGTGTTCGGCGCTCCTTACTTGCCAGCACTTAAATGGTTACCTGTATGAAATATATATAATAAGCAGATCCATGCACGAAGTGTTGACAAAACAAAGTTTTTCTCGATGAAAATGTCTGTTTTCAATGGTCTTAAAATTCATCTGTTTCGGATTATACAATAGTAATACATTTAGTTGTTGAATTGGTTCCACTTAAAATATTACTAACACTGCCATCAAATATTGTAAAAATTATTTTAAATTTTATCTCAGAGTCAAATTTTAATGTTTAAAGAACATTCCGCTCAGATTTCCGTTAAAGTTTCTAAAAATATGTTTACTTGGAAGGCACTGTTTATGATCGCTATGAAAAGAACGATAACGCTTCTTAAATTGAATGAATAGTGTTGACGTATGTCTTTGAAATTTCTGCTGCAAAATTTATCTCTTCTGTCGGATGTATTTAAGATATCTGCAACCGGTCATTTTTTAGTTTTACTTGACGCTTCATTGAAAGGCCTGCCACGACACCAGGTATATCTTCCTGATACATTAACAAGTTCATCAGGAAGTGAACATTCATAACTGAGTCAGTCACCGTAACGCTTTAAAAAATATGATCTATTTCTTGTGCAATTTCTAAATTTAGTTTTTGACAGTCAAGCAGCAAAATTATTATACATTTTGTTGTAAACCTCAATGTTCAATAAGTACGTTCCTTTGCACCCTTTCCTCATTCGCTCGAAACCACTCGTTTATAAGGCCCGAATTTCTGACGCAAACATTTTCCCGCAGAAAGAAAAAAAATGCAGCAAATTTTGTTTAAATATGAACGATAAGTATTAAGTTTCCCTAAAAGCGTAATAATTTCACAAATAGTTTTGGACGTGTTTCAAAAAATTCTCATTTAATTTTGTTGTATTCATTTTTTTACATATTTTAAGACGCTTGTTAAAAAAACTGAAAAACTCCGAGAAACCCCTAAAGAATACAACACCATGGATATGAAAGAGTACGTACGTACCTTGATGTCGATTTTCCATTATGGAAAATTAATTTTTGGATCTATCTAAATCGAAACAAGGCGACTTGGTTGCAATCGAAGATTCCAACAGTTATTATAATTTCAGACAGCCCTTTATCTGGTAATAATGTTATGAGCGCTATGAAAAAAGCGAAAATTTCCAAATGTTGTCCATGGTGTGGAGCGCTGTGCGGCGGTGAGACGCGTCGTTTCCCTAACTCCCCCTATCGTTTCGCAGGAGTTACTTCGCTTTCCGACTGGCCTCGCTCCACCATCAGTTTTTTCTTAGGCTACGTACGGAATACACTTCTCTGCAGACTTTATCGCGACAGTTCGGCGTCCCGCTGAAAGACATCAAAAACGAAACCAACTCCCTCTACAAGCTGGACGCCTTTACGAGGCCGCTTTACAGTCACGACTACGAAGGCAGCGTCAACGCGGAAACAGAGTTTCGGATTCAGTTCCGTACGTCGTCGAAGCTGGGCAAGGCCTCGACGTCCGATTTCCATTACAAACGTTCCAAGAGCGTCCAGGAGCTCGCGCCAAACGAGTCCGTCAACGAGGAGTTTCAGAACAAGGAAAACGAAAATCCCAGCCTCGTGTTGGACAGTTCGTGCCTGGCCGGGCTGATGCCGGAAAAACGGCGCGGCGTCAAAATGGGTACGAGGGCGATCGCGAATATGGCGTCGAGGGTGTCGCGCAGCATGGAAGCCGTCAATTGCGATTACCTGGAACAGATGTCGCTACAGTCGGTGTCCTTGAACTGTAGTTCGACGTCGGCTTCGAAGAACTCGCTGGTCGAGTACGGGAACGGCACGGAAGCCGCTTACATCTTGGGTGAGTTGTGTGCCTCAGGGTTACTAATTTGGGCTTGCGCTTGATTCGTTTATGATATTAATAATATATAGGGTGTTTTCTAATTGAATGTCAATAATTAAAGGGCCGATGTTTGGGTCAATTTTAAAAAGAAAACTTTTTGAGATACAGGATGGTGAAGTTTTCAAAAATAAAATGTATTTCTTTAATATCTGTAATACCACTTTGCATATTTTAATGAAATTTGACACGCATTTACTATGTATTAAAAGACATTATTTAACGTACTACAATTTTTTTTTAAATACACCAGTGGAGGGCGTACTGAATTTCACCTGTCTATATCATATCAATATCGTTAATATGACAGCATGCAGAGAGTTATTATCATTATTATTATCTGTGTTATTAAAATACTTAAAAAATCGAAGCACGAAATATGTGTTTTTTTTTTAAATTAAGAAATGTCTTTAGAAACAATTTTAGATTAGAATAATTTGTATTTTAAGAGAAATCAGTAGCGTACCACCAATGTATGTCAAAATAGATAGAGGAAATTCCGTACACCCGCCACTGGTGTATTTTAAAAAAATGTGGTGCACCAGATAATGCCTCTTGATACATAGTATATGTCTGCCAGTTCAGTAAAATATCTAAAGTGATATTACAGGTATTAAAAAAATATATTTTTTTTGAAAACTTTACCACCCTATATTTCAAAAGTTAAATCGTTTAGAAAACACCCTGTATATGCAGACGCAGCAATATTTTAGAGGGTGATTCCTGAAAAAGGCCCTCATGCATTATTTCCACTATAAAGAGTGTTTATTTTATTTTAACTGATTTGGCCTTAACCAAATAAAAATTTAAATAGTGACGGTATTTAGACTGTATATTTTATTCATAAAAATGTAGGCCACTGACTTTCGATTTAATTTCGATACTTCCCTGAGATAATATAGCGACCAAAACTACTACTTTTGCGTCTCTTGAATTTTTGCCATATCTTGCTTCGTTTACGAGATAAAAAGTAAAAATTGTTTCATTGCATGTCCATTTATCATAAAACTAGTTTTCAACATACCACAATGCAAACAATGCGACTAAAAACAACTTAATATTTATCATACAAAAACCGTTGAAAGTGAGTGACCACGTCCAGCTCGGATTCAGGAATCCGGACTCTTCTCCTCGTAGATTGGCGAACTCTGTTAAAAAACTGTATCCTGTACCCTGTATCTGGGAAGCAATGCATTTTCGGAGTTGTCGAGACTTTTTTTATAAACCCCCTTAAATTTTGACCCTACTTTTTTAAATGCCCTGTATATATAGATGGGTTGATAACGTTTTCCTTTTTCCGTCTTTCTCGTTCGTTTCGATCTCTCTTCCTCTAATCTTTCTGTCTATCCCTTATTCTCTCTAACACTTTCTTGGTCTGCCTGATCTTCTTCAGACAAGTGTTTGTTTTAGGAGTCTTTCTAGAGGAATGCTATTGTCCATATCTATATTGCAGCAGTTGTTGATTGGTTATTCTTTCTCATCTAGATATTCCAGCTGATCGCCTTTCTTTAATTGGTCATACTTCTGATGTATAGGTTATAAGGCTTGTGTTATATTTTCTTCTCTTGTTATCGTTTGATATGCTTTGTTCCAAAAGATTCCTGTTGAGCTGTCGTACCTTGCCTATCTTTGTCTCTAATTCCTCTTTGCAATTTACCATTTTATGTAATTGTGACTCTTAGATATTTGTATAATAATAATAATAATTTAATTGATTTTCACTGTAGGTTGTTTGTTTAAAGTATATTAGCTTAAGAATATTAATGCAACGTTCCACGTGTAGAATTTCAATTTCATTTTTAAAAGTACTGATTTACTTAAAATTATCAACTGCGATTGGTCATTGTACCTTCTTCTCGGCATTGTTTAATATATATATAACCTAATCTAAAATAAAGGTATATAAAAAGCGAATAATCATCCGACATCGATTTTATTTTAAATTTTGTTGTTACCGCTGCAAAGCAAAGGTAACGAAAAATGACGTCATTACAAATGGGTATAATTCCCACTTTACTCCCTTCTTCTTTCAGATTTCCTGTGTCCGACAGTGTGAATGAGTCCTATTGATTTTATTCCGATCCGTTTCTTTTTTCTCCTCAATTTTGGCTTCCGGCATTAACTGTGGTATATTATATTTTTTATTTTTTTAAATCTGACCAAGGTAGTTCCACTCGGTGCGAGAAATGTTAAGCGAACACTTCTATTTGTTTTTTAATTAACAGACCAGCTGTTGCAGAGATCTTCTATCTGACAGGCGTGTCAGAGATAAGGATAAACCATAATTCATTCTATGAAATGAACTGTTAAACAGGTTAACCCTCTATAAGCGATGTCTGTGGCATATTAAATTCTGGACAATCTATTAATCTATGTAGGATTTGTTAGTTATCAATAAATTTTCTTATTTTGTTAGAGTTGCTATAGTGTAATAATCCTTCATTCTACAATAATATACCCATTTTATTTTATTAAGCCTCTATCCCATATAATAGTACGCACCATAGACAACATTTTACTCCACGCATGCGCAGCAACTGCATTTAACTACCTCTATCTTTTGCTGCTGCTCAGTCGTGAATTAACAACATAAATGTAATTCTCCTAGCTTAGGTTAGGTTCTTATATAAGTTCCAGAATTTTATATGGCGAAGGATAACAGCTACACTCATCTGTAATTTCCAATATCCTCTCTTTCACTCTTTTTAAATACGGGTACAACCTAGCCTTTTTGAGTACTTTCTAATATTTATTAAATTTAAATTCAAGGGAGTGTTTACCCTTTTATTTACTAAGATCTTTAAAGATCCTGGTTCACTAAGTCTGTTAGAGCTGGAAAACCAAATGTTCCAATTCTACAAAAGTAAAACCAAGCATTCTCTGTATCTCTGTAAGTCGTGTAATCCGATTGCATCTTGTCACTATTACTTAATCACCTACCGTTTCTGTCGTTGCCTTTCAGATTCCACCATCAAATCCTACCCCCACCAGTTGCTGCCTAACTTCCAAGAGAGCTTGAACGACACCCTGATCGAGAAGTTCGACAACATCTCCTGCGCGGAGGAGCGTTGCCTTACCGCCGTGGCTCTGGAAAGGGACGCCGCCGGTAGCTTGGGGCTCCAAATCACCGAAGGCTCGGACGGGAACGTCTACGTGCAGTCGGTGATAGGTGGAGGCCCCGCCCACGTGAGCGGTCGCGTCCTCAAGGGCGACCAGGTGGTCGCGGTTGACGGACAATGCTTGCTGGGCATGAAATACACCGACGCTCTGGATATTTTGAAGGACACGGGACGCAGGGTGGAGTTTGTGCTGTCCAGAATCGATGACAGAAAGAGTAGGGCGGACAAACCGACGATGGTCGAGAGTCCGGTGGAGAAACACCTCATAGAGTCCTGTCACGACGTGGCTAACGCCAGTAAGCTGGCTGACGTGCCGTACTACTTGCGTACCATAGTACCGCAGACCAGGGACAACGACAAGGCGATCGTAGTCGACATGATACCCAAAAAAAACGTAGGCATTGCCCGGGTATGGTTGTCGAGAGAGCCGAAAGAGGACGCTAGCGGTAACCAAGGAGTGGCTCTGCCTAGGAGTCTGGGCCTCGGCAGAAAATGGAAAGGTCCCGTAAGGTACCCGGTGACTCCGGTAAAACACGGCGCGGACAGCGACGGTTCGGACGACGATCAGGTTTTCATTTGAGACACCCGGTAAGTAGTTTTCGGTTTTAAAAAGTTTAACTAAATGTGATACTAGAATATCAATAAAACGTTTTTTAATATACAGACCAATGTATACACTTTGAGCTTCCGTAGATTAAAAAGTGATCGGGTTTGAATTTATATATATATATCATTATAATGTAATCTCGTTGTTGTAAAAAATGGAGATTGCGAATCTCCTACTTTAAAAAATCTTAACGTGCTATGTAATACAAACATCAGTGTATTGGTAATAATGTACAGAGTAAACTTCGGAAACTTATCAGAATCGTTGGAGCTTTTTTCTTCGAACATTTAATTTTTTTTAATTCCACGAGTGTTGAGATGTTCTTCAACTAACTACTTAAATGTTGGGTATTCTTTATTATATTGTGTTTAATATCATTTGTGGTAGTATTGCTTAAATAAAAGAACATTTAAGACAATGTTTTTTTTTCAATGATATTATTATATTATATGCTGTCCCGTTTTCTTTCTTTGTGTTTTGTTTTACTCTAACTAGATAGAGATAAATAAAATTTAAATAGAAAAGTTTTTTACCTTTTACTTACATCTTCTTAAATGGGAATCTTAAAAAATTTGTTGATGGGGTCGCAACAATATATATTACTTTTTTTTTAGTTGGCCATGGATGTTCACTAATTTTATAATTTTATAATCGGTATATTAAAAACCAAGTTTACAACGATATTGAATACATCGACAAACTAAAACAAATAACGACTAGAAAAAACAAACAAAAACTTAATGACAACCCAGTAATGGTCTCTATATTATATTATAGAAATTAACATACAGGTGCTTAATCACAACAGATGCTCAAATTATCTAATATTGTGCTTCCATCAGCCATTTTTAACTGAACAAGTAGTATTATAAATCCAACTAATTTGTATGTAACCTTTCAAATTTTCAAAAAAAAAGTTAAGAATTCTATTTAGATGTAACGCCGCACCATCGAACCCAAGTTGTTGTTTCAGTTTATCAATGTTTTCAATATTGTTGTTACGTAGGTCTTTAAAGGGGAATGTTTTTAGGTTTTTAAGTTATTTAGAGGTTATATATTGTTGCAACTGCACGAAAAAATGCATTTCTTGGATTTACTCCGATAAATGTTAGTGTTAATAAATTAGATTTAAACGTTCAAGTTCGCTACTGGATTATATGTAAAGATTTTTTACATTTAAAGTTCTTTTTGTCTCCATAAATACCTCTATTTTTAAATAAAATCTAATTAGCACGTTTCTGCCATTAAACAAAGTACTAAAAAAGAGAACGGGACACAATATCACCCTATATTATCAACGAAAAAAACACACTGCACAAATCAAAGTCAAAAAAGTCGGCACATCTTTTTTCTGAATTGGTTAGGGAGAACAAGTCCCCTACCACAGTTAACGATTGTGATAAGGTTTACTTTAAAAACTAAAATAAATGTAACATCAAAAACTCCGCCGACATCACAAAACTGTCATTGTTATGTATTTATATAAGCTAGTAAAAAACTAGATAGATAGTAAGATATTTATATTTTTAACTTCACCATATCAAAAATGGATATTAAAAAATAATACATGTCGGTAGCCATAGTATAAAATTCTCGTTACATCTCGATATTAACGGTCGACCATAACTATATTTATTGTTGTAGACGTCAAAGAGGATATTTATTCCGAGTCTTATTTGTACATGTAGTTATATTTATTAAAAACATATCCCATAAGGCTACCTAATATTTTTAGGATGTAATTATGTTTAGTGAACGCTATTTGTAGGGCCAATATAAAAGTGTGCCTAAGAAATTACAGTCTGATAATAATATTAATGTGACATATGTGTATAAAGTATATTCATTCTAAAAATGTTACATGATAGGTATAGGTGTTTTATCCATATATGATTTTATGCCGATTTGGTGATAATAATCTTCTTTTTCGTTAAATAAGGAGAGTGTTTTTTAGATCTTAACTAAACGCTTTCCGTGATAATGTTAGATCTCGAATAAAATTAGAATCAAAGTGGCTGTTTCTATTTTCCAGCTTCATTCTTCTCTATCAAATACACCAAGTATTTCGTAATAAACGTGATGTGATTTAATAAAAGAAAATAGACGTCTTTGTCTTACCTCATCATTTTATACAGTTAAATCTATGGGGGGTAAGTATATGTGTCTGTGGCATCTATGTAAATCCTCGAAAGGGATCTGTAATGATCGAATGATTCTAGCATTGTTGGCCATTAGAAGTAAAGAAGAATTTGAAGAGACCGCCATTTTGTGAAGCTGTCATTTGAGTATCTTGTTTGAACAGTTTATGGGATAAAATGAGTAATCTTAATTCTCACTATTTTTAAATTTTACTCTTAATTGCGTCGGTAAATTATTAGAATCAGCTACTTATTATTTGATTAAACGACAGTTTATAGGATTATAGGATTGTCAAAACGTCAAACGTTATTGCTGTGTGTGTGACATTTAAAGCCCAAGCACGTCTTGCATATTGTAAATTAAAATGTTTTTTTAAAAAATATGGTTGTTACCTCTTAAAACCATTAGTTAAACCCAACAACAAAAGGTACGCTGTGAATTTATGCTCTTACTGAAACGAGAAAGCTGCTAATAAAGCAATTGTCCATAGATGACACCGCCAGTATGTCAAAGTAATTGGAACTACCACCAACATGTAGCGCCATCGTTCGAGAGAACATGCAACTAAGTAGATAGGGCGTGGTGGTGGCGCTATCTCTCCATAGAAAACGATACTAACTAGTTACAGCAATCGATATCTTGATTTTCTTCTCAGATAGGCAAATAAGCCAAGGACGCTCGCCCAATCATTTTATCAAGCGTTTTTTGTTTTATCGTGGTAGTGTGAAAACATCGAAGAGAAAAGAATCGAGCTCATTGCATAATTTATTCTTAAGGGATCTTGCTATACATTTAGAACTACAGAATTTTAAATGAAATAAAAGAACTTCCCTGACACATAGATCAAAGACAACTGTCATTGTTCCGTGGTTGCAACTTTGTTTATTTTGAGATTTGAATTTCGGCATGGAAAAGTAAAACTCAAAAAAATGGTAACACAATATATGAGGGTTTTTCATCGCATAAAACTGAATTTCAACGTTTTAGGCACTCGACAAATATAAAAAGCAAATATTTAGAGAGGAGCTTCGGAAAAGGCAAAACGAAGAACGCTTAGAGCTAGTCAGGGCCCAAATTGAGGAGAGGAACAAGTACGGTAATCTGTGTCGGTATTTCCACGAACAAAAAACCCAGCTGGAAGATGAACAAAAAGCGCACGCATCGAGTGAACAAGAAAACCGTAAACGACTGGAATACGAAAGGGAAACCAACCTGGCGATGGAACTGGATAAAATCAAACGAGACGAACTAGTAAAAATGAAACTAAGGTACTGCCACAGAAGTTGGAAAATGGATGCTTAATAAAAATGTTAAAACTTTGTTTAACCTATTGTTTAAAGTCACTAGGTTGAATGAATTGAAATGAGACCCATAAGCATTGCTTCTGCTGCTGCAAAAGTAATTGGAAAGGTGGTAAAATATGAAATTGTACAATTTTTCTTATTGACACAAAATACAAATTTTAATAAGTATAGGTGGTCATGTCATAGACATTTTTTTTTATTTTGTTATTGTTTCAGGCAGCAGTTGCGAGAGACCTCCCCTGAGTTACGCGAACTGGAAAGGCAGTTGCGGGCGGCTTATATCAATAAAGAATTAGCCGCTCAGATAGCTCAGAAAGAGGAGGACAAAATAAACGAACGAATTTTTGAAAAACGGACCCACGAATTAGTCCAAGCTGCGGTTGAGAACGAACAACAGCTAAGGGAACGTCGCGCCAAAGAAGACGGCATGAAGAAAGCCCAATACAAACAGGAATTACAGGAGCAGATGATTCTCAGGGAGAAATCCAAAAGGTATCTGTACGAAGAGTTCCTAAGAGAGAAGAAAATGATCGACGACATCGTACAGAGGATCCACGACGAGGACGAACTCGAAATGCAAGAGAAGATGTGCAAGATGAAGAGAACGCGGGAGGACATGGTCGCGTTCAAGGCCGTGCAAGACGCGTGGAAACGGAAAAAGAGAGAAGAAATCGAAGAGGAGAATAGAAGGATTCAGGAGTTTCTCGAGAAAAAAATGGCGGACATCACCGCGAGGTTAGAGGAAAAGAAGAGGATGGATCAAGTTCGTGCGAAGATGCGCGAAGAACTCGCGAAAAAGATCTACAAAATGGAGGTAACAATCTTTATTTTTTTTCCTACAGGGTGGGTGGCGTGTGAGTGAAAGTGGTGAGGAAGGAGTACGCTGCCATTCTCGACGGCAGGCATTGACCGAAAACCTCGAGCAGCATCGGGTTCTTCAGCACCGACTGTTTGTAATCGTTAAAGGATATCTTCCCGTCTCTGTCGAGGTCCATCTTTTTCGTTATCACTTCGATCATGTCCTAAGTTCGGACATCTTATTTTTTTGGGCTGGGTTTCGAATCTATTTCAGGTTACCTTGACCGATTCGTCCGCGTCCTCCCCACCTTGACTGACCATCGAGCCCCTCAATAAGTGGAAGATGTTATCCCGCGCCAGTACTCCCTCGCCCATGATGTCGTAGACCTAGTGGTGACCTTTTTATACGTCGAAGGCGGGGTGTCGTACACGCGATTACCGTGAAGCAAAAATTGATTTTCTCCTCTAAAGTGCCTCTGAGGAACAAAGACAGGGTCGTGGCCCACGTTTCCATGGTGATAAACGGGCTGGGACCCTTGTCGACGGCGAGGAACATCCTATCCATGAGGTTGTCGTCGGTCATGTCCAAAGCGCAGTGCAACATGTCTCGGAACTGGATCTTGGTCACGCCCCTTTCCCTTTTCCCTTGACCGTGATGTTCGTTTTCCTATATGCAACTCCCTATATTCGACTGTCTATCGACCGAGTTCTCAATACCTTCTCGAGCTTGTAGTACATGATCGACAGCGCCTCCAGTTCCACGTAGTCAAAGTGCAGCTTCTTCTCCAACCTCTGTATCAGCGGCTTGTGTCTTTTTTTGAATCTGGTCTCCTCCATGATGTCCATGGAGGCGTCCAGCCAGTCCCCGTAGTCCCCGGCCATTATATTATATCTCGATTTCTTTTGCACGCGAAAACTGACGACACGTCAACGTGACGTTTCAGGCGCAACGGAAAGAAAGGGAAGACGTCATGCAAGAGCTGATGGAATTGGAGAGAAGCGAGGAGATGGAACGAAGACATCGGGAGGAGATAGAGAAACGAATAAAACGAAGATTGGACGTAAAGGCGTCGCTCGCTGCTCAAGTCGCCGAAAGGGAAGATAAAATCAGGCGGGAAGCGGAAGAAGACGCGAGATACAAGCAGCGGCTGTTGGAGGAATTGGCGGAGAACGAGAAACTCGAACAGATGTCAGCGCAGAAGAAGAGGATGAAGATGCTTCAGCTGAGAAAGGAGGTGGAGGAAACGATGACGGAAAGAAGGCAGAAGAGGGCCGAAGAGATGCAGCTTCTGGTCAAATTGCGTGAGCAAGAAGAGAAAGCACTAGAGGACAGGTGATTTATCGTGGTCTAACGTAACGCGCAGAGTAATGGTTCTTTTGTTTTGTAGGCGGAAAATCGTGGAAGAAGAGCGGGTGTCGATGTTGAAGGAACACGTTCAGAATTTGGTCGGTTATTTGCCGAAAGGGCTGTTGAAGCCGGAAGATCTGACCCATTTGGGAGGCGATATCAGACAGAGTTGATTTTCTTGTACCAATTTATATTTTTTAAATAAATTTTGTAGTAATTCCGCAGTTTAGTTTCGGGTTAACTTGATATGATATGATATGTTAAAGTTTTCAGAGTTAAATGAAGAATGAGGCAATTAAATAGAATAAATGTTGCAGTTATTCTGCAATCAACATGAGCCAGTTTTAAAAGACTCAGTCAGACAATCAGTCAAAATTTCATTAATAAAACGGCAATGGCTTTATACTAGAATCATTAAATTATTAATACCAAAAATATAACAGAGGAGGAACTACATATTGCCGACATAATTAAACAAATTTCTTAAGATTGCTTTACCTAAGAACTAGAAAAATCGGTGGCAATATTAACCTTGCTGCATCTTTAATAATCGGATACGAAAGATTTGATTTTGTTTTATAAAAAAAATCCTTCAACACTTCCATATTAGTTTAATTTTTTTACTGTGAACGAAAACTTGCGCATTCACCGAAATATAAGAAACATATGCAAAAAAAATCTAAACACGTTCAATTTCATGCTTTTGAAAAGGCGAGTTCTCAATGACACGACGCAAAAATGTACATTTTTTTGCAGTTTAATAATTATTTCTGCATTTAAATTACTTTCTGTTAGGATACTTTTTATTTGAAAATAGTTGAAACCAGTAGTTCCTGTGGTTCCTACACGTTATAATCCTTAGTGCTTAAATTCATATGTCAGATTCGCGTGTCGTTGCCTGAGAAAGCGGTGTGTTCACTTTTGTCTTAAGACAAGGCGACATTTTAAATATTTCTAAAGCGCATCGCCAAATTATGAATTTTCTGTTGTACTTACAAGCCAAAAAGCAAAGCACGGGAAGCCCAACGTCACCAACCACTCACCAACTACAGATTAAAAAAAATAAAACTTTGGCCATTAAAAAGATTGACGTAAAACACAGCTACCGCGATTTGGTAATGCATACAAATTTACCACTTGTCTTCTTCTTTTCTTTTAGTTTTTTATCAAACCAGAAAACAATTAGGTTGGTTGGTTTAGGCAAGTTCCATTAGATTTAAATAGGTAAATGCACTAATAATCACAATCACAAAGTTCCTAATATACACAATACAACTAGTTTGACGCGTTTACAGACAGACAGAATCAAAATGTATATGACAGTTCGGGATTGGCATGCTAGGAATTTGGTTTTGGCCATCTAATAATTAGAAAAGTTCCATGGAAGAATGACATTTAACGATACGCCTACTTATTTTTTTTATTGTTTTTATTTCATTTTTTTTAACATGCCAAGAATTTTTCATGCCCACATAAAATCAAAATTTCGAAAAATTATTCATATTAAGTTTCACATATTTATTCATTTTTTAGGTTATTGCTATTTCGCAGGAATTTATTATAATGTATGCACTATATTTTAGAAAAATGTAGAGTTAGGAGACCTCATTAGATATCCAAAGGGCCTAGAGAGTGAACCAACGAATATTTAAGTTATAATGAAAATTAAGTTTATTTATATAGTGGTTATTAGAAAAAATACATTATACAGAATTTAAATGATATAAAGTCATAATATTCTTTATTATCTGAGACACTTTCATCTTTTCTTCAATGACACTGGATACCTTAATGCCTAAAAAAAAATGTTGTGATGTCATAGCCAACCACATTTCTACATATTTTGTTATTTCTCTGTTGTTTTGATGCCAGATGAAACCAGCATTTTATGACGAACATATTTAACTAAACTTTATGGATTGAATTAACGAACTCTTTTTAGTTCACTTTTTGTTGTATATATTTATTTAGGTCAAGTTTCTTACCTTGTTCAGATTTTTAGTTTTGATTTTAGCCTATGAACTCTAATTATTTACTTTTGTTATTAACATTTATTAAATCTCTGTAGCAAGTGCGTAGTGTAGAGTTTTGTTAGGAATAGGTTTTATTCGTATCTCTGGAGTATTATATTTTTAAATGAAGTAGTATCGGTCTTTCCTATTAAAAAAATTCCAAATATTGCCAAGTAACCCAATGTGGGCAGCTTTAAATGTGTATCATCATTTCCTTAGTCTGTGGTTAAATTTCCGTTGCAATACCCGCTTCAGTAGCGTCACAACACAATTTTATATGGGGCAATCAAAATGTAAAAAAAATAACACACATAACCTTAATTTCTCCCTAAACTATGCAAAATTCGTATAGGAATTTCTTAGGAAAGTGACCTTTATTTTAACCAAGGATTCAAAAAATGTCGAAATACCCAGGGTGTTCCTTTTAAAATAAGAGAGATGATGTTTGGAACACCCTGTATCAACAAAATTATAATATTTTAAATGGGTTGGAAAATTTGCACTTGATTTTTACGTTTTATTTATTTCGCTGGGGAAGAAGTAAATGCCTTTTTAAATGAAAGCCAAATTTTTTTGCTTCAACTGAGACTATTTAGGGATTATTAAGGATTAGGATTTTTATTGGAAAAATCTCTCAAAAACGTACTAAAACCTTCTATTCCTTATTACATCAACCTGAAGTCATGGCTAATTATTATTCAGAATGTTTGTTTATCGCCCAATTTTGATAATTCTTTTTAATGGTTAAATTTCACTGAAAGGCACTTACGATTTTCTTAAAATTAAATATGATTAGAGAGACTTTGAAGCACTGAATTTTTTTAATTAAAAATGACTTCTCATCTAATAATGAAAATAACAGAAATATTAAAATTCATTGATGTCGGCATACTGCTTCCTTAGTAAAACCAAGTTTGCCATGGAGAAGCGAATACTCAACTGTCAAATTCACTCGCTAATTTATGCTTTAATTTTGTTTGCATTATATCTTTCGAATTCTAAGATTTATTAATGCTGCCATTTTAAGGTGATATTAAAAAATAAATGTCCGTTAGACAGTCTTTTTTGTCATTATTTTCGAAATTTGTATGATAAAAATTTGTAAGATCTTAATATTACATACGAAATAATCGTTGTTTACAAAGTTGACAATATTTATACTGTATATATACTTCGGCGTTTCCTAGTTTTATACAACATTGCAAAACCCAAATGCATGCAGATGATACACAAGTTACTCATTTTCGGGAGATAAAATTTTGGAAAGCTGTCAAATCATAAATAATGATCTAGAAATCATTAACAGGGTGTCCCTAGAACATTCACTAAATCTAAATCCAAAAAAATCTATAGCCATGTTCTTTGGTAGGCCCTTGGTTAGTTGATCGATTATCGCAAATAGTTGAAATAAAAATGTGTGCATTCCTCTGAAAACAGAGGCAAATAAACTCGCTCGACAGTAAGCTAAGATTTAATGGTCACATTACACAATGTATTAAAAAATCCATTGCTTACTTAAACTGCTTATATGGTTCTAAAAATATTTTAAACCAAACATTAAAAAAGGTTCTATGTGATTCGATAGTTTTATCTTCTTTTAACCACTATGATGTCGTCTATGGCTCATGTCTGACAACGGCTGCCTCAGAACGGATTCACAAAATCCAGAAATACTGTCTAAGGTTCATTTTTGGGATTAAACGCGGCGGGCCTCTTAGCCATAAAATGAAGGAAGTCCGATGGTTTAATATGAAAAATCGATGATATCTCCATGAATGTAATCTTTATCTCAAAATTATAAGATTGAGGTCTCCCCGTTATCTTTTCAAAAAAATTGGCTTTCGCACGGACGTTCACAATTGAAATTTAAGATTTAAAGGCCTGCTCTCCCCTCCACGTCACACCTTTTGAATTTTTGAAAGATCCTTTACAGATGACATGGCTAAAACATATAATGCATTGGATTAGTCCCTTAAATTGCTGCTGCGTGAAGTATTATTATCATTAAATATTTAAGTACTGTAAACTATTTCCAAAGTGTAAGTCCCTCTATTTGCACAGATCGTACTAGATATTTCTTTATTTATTTATGTATATTTTTCCTGTCTAGCGCTGCTACCTTCTTCTTAGGAGGCACAAAATATCTTATTTTGTTCATCCGAACCGCGTCCTTTTCATTGTATATCAATACGTGAATAAAATTATTATTATTATTATTATTTGTGTTTTGAAAACATTAAAATTTTGGTCACTGGTCTAGCTACATTTAGGTAGTCCTGAACACGAATCTGTTGTTGTTTTCAATCTGAAAAAATCTCTAAACGTATTTCTTGATTTTCCGCTTAAAAAAACTGTGTCAGTTAACCATGACTTTAGACCTTATCTTTAGTATAATTTATCCGACAAAAAGGAATTTTAAACATTCTACAGGCGTAATTTTTAAGCGAACTTCATGGGAATTCGTATGGTTAGGTTTTATGTACTCCTGAATAAGAATTCGTTTAAACTTTATTCTTAAAGGATGGTCCATGACTTTAGGTTAGATCTATAAAACAAAAAAAAAGTTATCAAAACCAAATCGTAATCAAAGATTTTACAACGATGTACATAAACGATATTTCAAATACCCTGGAAATTTCAAATCTGGAATGGATTTTTTTTTTGTTATCGATCGATTCAAGTGATCAATGTTAAAGCATGCCGCGTGCTAGCTCAAGAGTTGTTCAAATATGAGACTCTTAATTTACAAGTCGATAATGAAAACGCTCTAGAAGTCGGTCTCAACTAGGTGGTATTATTTATTATTGTAATCATCACAGACAAGTAACCTATATCAGGTAGAGTTCTCCTAAGGATATACCGTTTTTTTCTACCTTTTTTGGTTTTGACTTCGGAATGAGTAAAGCGGAAGGGACCATTCATTTCAGTACGTGTACCACAAGCCAAGCAGTATTTAAGATATTAGCCGACAAGAACTCTGCCGTGCGGGGTGTTGTATTTTAAAAAGTGTGTTATATTAGTGTGCTTTTTATAAACCTTCCTAAAGCAGTCCCTACTTGAAACATTATAGAAATTGCTATATTTGGGTTCTAAGTACTCCTGAATAAGAATTCGTTGACCATGACATTATGTCGAAGTAATAAGCAAAAGAAAGTTTTAGTGCATTTTTCAAATAACTATCCAACAATTTTTTTTATCCAAATTGATCCATAAACAAAGATTTCACAAGAGTGTACAGTTCTTAATTGGGACACACTGTATTAATATTAATAATATTAATAAATAAATAAAGACAACTACCAAATTGCATAGAAATAGTCAAAATACACAATAGGTACAATATACATACCATAGAATAAAACATTTACTCAAAAAAGTTCGTCTATAATATTTTGGATAACAAAAATAACTCTTAACTTCAAATTCCGTAATTTGTTAAAGACATACAATGACATTTCAAAAATCAATGGACTTGTCAAGGAGAGAATTGGGCAAATAATATATAATAATATATGTTTTTGAGCCAAAAATGCTTTAGCGGCATTTACAGATGCTCCCCAGAAATTGAGCCCATAACGTAATCGGGACTCCAGCTTCGCATGTACAAATTAAGCAACTGAAATAATTTTTGTTATTTACTTTCCTTATAATTATGGAGTGGTTTTGGTGTAATTCTCTTTGTGAAGCATCTAATTTTCGCCAAAAAAGGATAAAAAAAAATTCCAAAGAAAATTATTTATCGAGCAAGACTTTTCTTATGGCTCGGAAGCATTATAAACATAAATATCAGGACGTGATATTGCCTGAAAGTTGTTGTTATAAGGAATTCCTAGTAAAACCAAGATATTTGTCTTACCAAAAGTAAGTAAATAAATTATTATTAAAATTTATATAAAAATATTATATTCTAATTTCTTTGATTTATATTCGTATATATATGATATGTATTCGTATATATATTTGCCGTTTTAATTAATTCGACCCACGTGTTTTTGGCCTGCATGTGTTTTATTTACTTGACTCGGTTAAATTTATTATTAAATAAATAAATAAAACATATGTACAATTACTATACATGAGTCTTACTACTAATTTTTTATTTAATTAATATAATTAAACGACATTAAAATTAGGTCACATAAATATTAAATGAAAGAAAATTATTTCAAATTCTTTAAAAAAAATAGCTGTTTAATTGCTCCTCGTTTTTCACGATTAAATGTGACAAAGAGCTCCATGAAATAAATTTTACTTAAGTGTCTTGCATAGTTGGGGTTTTTGCCTGCGTTGAAATAAGGATTAATTTTAATTTTAATGTTAATAATCTACGTCAACATATGAAAGAAATAACCAGTCCAAGTCCAAGAAAACATATGTTTCGACAACGCGACGCGTATTGCGCTCTTAACTGTGACTTTGGCGCGAAACGCGGTCGCTTCGAGCGCCCTCCGGCGGCGTCTCCTCGTACTTCGCAGCCCGGCCTTTCCGCTCCTCCCCCCGCGCACATGGCACGTCGGAAAATTGTCCGCCGCGCGTCCGCACCGATCGTCGTCGCCGACAAAAATGTCCGTCCCGATCAGCTGACGGACGACCATTTACCGTCCCCCGCCGCCGCCCGCGCCTCCATCCCGCATTTTATCACGATAGTGTCAAGGTGAAAACAACGCGTGCAGGTAGGCAGTAACCTGTATCGCAGGTGCGCCAATCAGGGCGTACAGGTTCGCGTCCAATGGAGTACGTCCGATCCTGTTTATATCGGGAGGACCCAGTTTCGGCGCGGCCATCGTCAAGGAGGGATGTTTTCGTTCGTTTTCCGTCACGAAGACGACGTCATCGACTCGCGAGAGTGAACGGCGACGGTGCGCGGGTGTTGATGGGTGTTGGTGGGGACGAAACGTCGCGGACATGTCCTCGTCGAGGGGTAACGAGTGCTGCGGGGGGCGGCGGAAGCAGGCCAAGCCGCAACGTAAAGGTGAGTGTGTCGCCGAAGCAAACAAAACCATGTGCTCGGGCGCGAGGGTGGCGCCCCCTACGCGATTTGTTACGCAGATAGGGGCGAGATGATTGCCGGCATTGGCGATTTTACAATTCAAACTGTTAACTATTCCGGAGGTAAATTTTGAAATGGAAAACTTTGTTTGCTTAATCATACGAGCTTTCAGCCTTAAAGCATGCTGCGTGCTAGCTCAGGAGTTGTTCGAGACTCTTAAGTCGTACATCCGATACCTTTAAACAAGTCGCTAATGAAAACACTCTAGAAGTCAGTCTCAACTAGATGGTATTATTTATTATTGTAATTATCACAGACAAGTTACCTAAATCATGTAGTTCTCCCGACGATATACCGTTTTACAACCTGAGTTTAAGATTGTATTACTGTTGTTTTGCAAAAATGCACCCCACTTTTTAAGTCACTCGCTTATTAAGCACTCGCTCTGCTACGCTCCGCTCGTTCCAAGTAAACTCGTGACTCGAATGCCTTTTACCACACCTGTTTCATAATACACTATTTTCTATTTAGTCACAATAATTCTGAAAATATAAAAATTACCAAATCACAAAATGTTTGTTGGTCTGTGTTAAAGATCGTTGAACGATATACCCTTTTTAAAACATTTTATGATTTTGACTTCGGAATGAATTTACAAAGCGGAAGGGATCATCCTGCACGCGACAATAACTGTGCCGCGCAAACTATCGTATAGAGCAGGGATTTTTTTTTTATTAAATTGTTATATTAATTCAAAAGGTGGTATTCCGCAGGGATCAGTTTTTGGGCGGTTGCTTTTTCTAATTTATGTAAGCGACATAAGTGAAAACATCACACAAATCACACTGTTTGCAGATGATAGAAAACTCCTACTGAAAACTATGATGACCTTCTGAGAAACCTAACAATGATAGAAATTTGGTCCAAAAAATGGAAAATGAAATTGAACCAAGAGAATAGTTATAACCTTAATAGAAAGAGTTTCGAACAAGTAGAAGAACAGAAAGACCTTGGATTTTGATAACTTCCAACTTGAAATGGGAGACGCATATTTCAAAAGTAGTTGGTTGAACAGGTTAATTCTTTGGTGTTTTGTATGAAGAGGGCCTTAATAGATCACGCCATAGTAAAACTTTATAAGTCTTTCATTCGTCCAAAATTAGAATGTTGTCAGACAATATGGGGTCCCTGCTTTATTAAAGACATTGAAATGCTCGAGCTCGTTCAAAGAAGAATAACAAAACTTGCAATCCATTTATCAACGATTCCTATGAGGAAAGACTGGTAAAGCTGAATTTAACATTGAAAAAAAGACGATTACGTGGTGATCTAATTGAGACTTACAATATGATTGGTATTAAAGGGGGGCGCCCTCGCGGGCGTCCAAGCACTTAGGCCACCAGATGGGCCCGTTGTGCCCCCAGGCCGCTCTAGAGGGCGTCCAGAATGCCGCCCCTCCTGTAGAAGGTCAGCAACTCCTTTAGTCCAATACCGTGCACTGAGTCCGGATCGATCAGGGCCGTTCCGAAGACTCCCAATCTTGCCCATGTCAGGGCAGGGCACTCGGTGAGCAGATGATACGGGGTCTCCTCCCCTTCCATGCACCACCTACACTCCGGGTCGTCTCCAATGCCTAGCAAGCAGAGATGCCTCCTAAGCCTGCAATGTCCTGTGTAGGCCCCTGTTAGTGCTCTACACTCCCTTCTGGTCAGTCTAAGCAGCTCCCTGGTCCGAGGAAGGGTTACAATATGATACATGTGAACTGAACATCTTTCAAAATAAATCGAATATCCATCTACGAGGTCACTCCAAAAAATTAACCAAAGAAAAGACTGTTAAACTGCAGAGAAAAAACTTCCTATGCAACAGAGTGGTGTATACCTGGAACTCCCTTTCGGAAGACGCAGTGTCCGCAACAACTACTAATTCTTTCAAAAACAAATTGGATTGAGAATTGCACCATCTGATGAGAGTTTATAATATTATATAATCAATAATTCTTTTGTCTTCCTTTTTTTAACAAGGATTATTTTTTTTATGTATCAGACATTGTAAATTATATTCATCCGCCTCGTCTGGTTAACGGCTTGCTGTTGTAAATAAATAAATAAAACTAAATAAAAGGGTAGTGCGATAGTGGGATTCAATATTGGTAGGTATCAGGCCATGGAATATTAACAATTTCATAAAACACCAACTTTTAGGTAACCGCTAGTAAAAGCGTGGTTATACGTTTGTTTTACTTTGCCTGTCGAGAACTAACCATTAAAAATACCATGCAAATGTAGCGAAATGTCAAACAACTTAGTCAAAGATGTTTTCGGGAGATGAATTGAATTATAAAATGAAAATTGAAGAATATTTTAAGAATATATAATAGGGTAAAGCTGACTATAACTTTTTTTTTAAAGCACTATTCGACTGAGGTAACTATTTGTAACATATCATCATTCAATGCATACCGTAGATTTGTAGATATTCGGCTCTAAAAAAACTTATTGTTTGAGGATAGATATATGGGGTAGTTGCCCCTGGCAAAATTTCGACATGAGTATAGATGCCCTACAATGGGATAGATGCCTCCGTAATAAAGAAAAAAATTCGTAGAAAATTAAATAAAATGTTTATTTGCTTTGTTAGTTGCAATAATCTATTATAAGGTTTTTTTATCCAAATATACCGTAAAACTAAAGTAAGTGGCACTTTTATAGGAACAAATGGCTCAGTCTTTCAATCATTCTTTGGATAAACTTAGCAACTTAACAACGTCTATTAAAAATCATTTAAAACTTTACCGAACTAAATTTAGGAATAATAAAACTTAAAACAAATCCGTCCCTTAGGACTTCTTTGGAAAAAAAAAACAAAGCTTCCTTCTTAAAAAAAAACTAACAGTAATCAAAATTTTCAAATAATCAACAAATATAGAGATACTGTTTACTTTGGCCAGGTTACTTATTCTTTGAATTCACTTTGGCCAGGTTAGCTTTTAGAGCTGCAAGCTTCTTCTTGTGTCCACATCTATTGCAGTAATCGCCATATAGAGTGCAATCTTCTTGTAACCAGAGTTTACACATCAGGCACTGAATCCAGTCCGCCGTGGACTTGGTACTTGCATAGTCATCGAAACATTCTCGGCATTTACACCGACTTGGCCTTTATCCATTTCCCCAGAAGCTTTGCAAAGGGCTTCTTCAGACCAAGCAGCCCCTATTTTCCTTTATATTTTCGCGGCATTTTGTCTAAAATAAAAAATGAAATTAGCTGATACGCTGCATTATTTTTTACAAGCCTCAGTTTTTTATAATAACACTTAACACATTTACGCGATATATTTACCACGTACCGACGAACCAGCTGAACACTTAACATTCTGCTCTCGAATGTTGGCGATCCCAATAGCATCTGTAGCTTTGGAAACTGCAGCATCAAAGGTTTCTGTAGATCAACAATCAAACCATCTTGGTGCATGAAAGTTTTCCTCGTATTTGATATATTTTACTTGTTCTATTGTTTGTCCTTTGACATGCAACTGGTGTTTTCGAAAAGACCACTAGTTTTTCGGCACTATGAACTGCAGAATCCATTACATTTTGTTGGTTTTGCTATTCCAACGGTATCATCAGTTATTAATTCCAGTGATCTTAATTCCCATCAGAACTGCATCTAATGGGTCTCTAAAGATAACTTCCTAATATAGGTTAAAATACAGTTTTGATAATGCCAATATAGTCCTGAGCCGTTGATCGAGTGTGGTCTGGATATTTTGTTGTTTAACACGATGTTCCCGTAGTACACCCAATTAAAATTACATGTTTTTGGTTAGCTTTGATTAAGAAAACACCAAACAAATAAACTTTCACTTTGCGAGACTTGCACTCATTGATTTCATATAAGGTCTAACGGAATATCGTACAGTAACAAACGAAATAGAGAGAGCATCTACTAAGTTTAACTTTCACTGTTAGCAGTCTATCGCGAAGAAATGAATATTAAAATAGACAACGTCACTAAGCGAGTAAAAGAACACCTATAGTACTCTTCCATCTTATCACGTACAATACGCCCAGTATTTGATTTACATGTTTGTGTAGCTTATCCTAGCCACTCAGAACACTGATCGTAAAATACGGCTAAAACTTGACTTACATATTATGTGGGCGGTGATGTAGTACTTATCTGATGAACAACAACTTAACAATTGGTTTCCAGCTTGATGTTAGTACTGAATAAACTACTTTTTAATTAATTAACATACTTATTAAAGAAGACTAGGGCTGATTCCCCAGGAAGACATGTATTAAAAGCCGGAATGAGATGATGAAACGTGAGGGATCCTATATAAAACTTCTATGGACAAATATTGAGACACCTGAAGAAGTCTGCAGGCAGACAAAGACTATTCATTGGAATTCAACCCTTCAATAGCACCCTTAAAAGAAGGTGTGAGACATCGACAAAGATAGAAGTGGCAAGGTGCTAATCGGTAAGGGGTAAACCGCAGGAAAAACAGTGCACACCCCAATTCCTTTAATCAGTTATAGATCGTTGAAACGCAACATCCTGATGTCTAAAACAGACGGAGAGTTTAGAGGTTTGGATTTCTTCCGGATACCGGACGTGCCCTCGTTTCTGCCCATAGATCCGACGTTATTTTTAGACCAGCGTCTCAGAATGGCCGGAAGACGTGTTTAAATCGCGATTCGTGCGTGCCCGCGTTCAAAGACGTGCCGTTTCGTGTAAACTAACCGTTAGGTCACCTGGCTCGATTGATTACACGCTCGTTAACGTACTAACCGTCGCGTTTGACGTATTTAAAGATCCTGCCGGATCGAACTGGAGGTTATTTGCGGCATGGAAGAGGTCATTTGTTTAATTACACGGTCCAATGACGGCCGCGTTGCTGTATACTTGTACTACGAGTATATATAGCGATGAAGATTATTTACAGAGTCCATTTAAACACCTAGTGCCCCAGTAAG